TGCACTTATTATTTTGAGAGTTTTCAATGTGAACACACTACTTACACTATTTATACTACAAAATGGCGTAAAATAGTGCATAAGTATGCGATTTGGGACGCAGCTATAGGCTTATTAAGGTAGCGTTCAGAAAAAACAAAACACCAGCAAAGAAATGAGACACAGAGGAACATAGACACCTACTGCCAGCTAGTGTTTCGAAAGTGTTATTGCAGAGCAACACAAACAGCGCCCAGAAGTATACATGCACGGCTAGGCGAATTGTATGCGCCGTGGGTCATGCCGATCACTCGACACAGAAGAAAAAAACAGGCTTTAGGCACTTGGCCTGCAGCCTAGAGCCAACAAACGCCTCCATCCAGTGCCGATATACAGCCATGTCGCACTGCTAATGTGATATTGCTCATATATATGATTTTTTTTATGAACACACAAACACACACACACACACACACATTTTTAAGAACTCTGTTATAGTTTTATTTAAGTTTATTACGTTATTATTGAGGGAGTCACACCATTTAAAACCTCAGTTTCCCTGTGATGCAAACATTTAAGGAATAGTTCACGCAACACTGAAACATTTCACATTTACTCCCTCTTTACTTTTCACAAACAAGTTTGAGTTTCTTTCTTCTGTTGAACGCAAAATAAAATGTTCTGAAAAATCTTGAAAACCGGCGGTAACCATTAACTTCCAAGGAATTTGCTCTCTGCACTATGGATGTCAGCAGTTTCCAACATTCTTCAGAGTATCTTCTTTTGTGTACAACAGAAGAAGAAAAAAAAATCAATCAGGTTTGTAAACACTTGAGGCTGAGTAAATAGTAAGAAAATTGTTCATTTCCATAACTTTAATAGGCTTTTACTATATTTATAATGACTATAATGTTGTAAAGCATTGTGAAATTAAGTAATGGGTTAGCTTAATATTCTCATTAGGACGCAAAAGCAAAACATAAGAGGGTGGCAGTAATTACTGACCTGAGAGTAATTACGCCAGTGTGTGTGTGTGTTACGCCAACACACACCTATTGTTTTCTTGCTTACATTCATCATACCGTATCCTCACACACACTTATCTATTTCATTCATTCACGTATCTATGATTTTTGTCGACCACCAGTGTGCAAGTCTGCATTACTACGAGTCTTCATGAAAATCCCAGAGAGACCCACGCCCCACGCATTAGTCATTGTTTCCATCAGAAGACCATCCCTACCACTTTCAGAAGGAGGAACCCTGAAATGAAAACGTCTTACCATATTTAGATTCTGGGTTTTTCTCCTCTGGCTCCATTGCAAAGATATGATGCGCACTTGTGGCAGTCAATTAAATCTCTGAGGGAATCGTATTGCCGTCGCTTAGTCTTGTGAGGAACTGGCCATCAGTAATTCCGCTGCTCTACAGTGGAAGTGTATGGCAGGAACGTAACAGTACAGACATGACGATGTGTTTCGTTTTTTTCGAGCGTGTCAGGGTTGAATCCGCCAATCAGAAGAGCGGAAAAAATGATAGGCAGTCGCGTCAGCCAATCAAAACACACAAACGCGACTGAAAACTGATGATGCACATGAAGAAATCAGAAATTCTGTTGCAAAACTCTGCGTTTAATTTTGCAAAACAAAGATGACACACAAAGATTGCCTATGTTCGTATAACTATCAAATGTTTGATGTTATTTTGGTTAAAATATTTTGTATAATTAATTTATGATGAGCTTAGAATGGAAGTTTCTATCAAAACTAGACTGTTTGACTTGAGAAAAGCAGCACATTCATTGAGTTCGATGGAAATGCCAGGTCGGTTCCTAGAAATCCTAATTAAATGAACGTTTTATTAACACTTGCCAAATGTGACACTCTCTGATTGTCATCATGAATAATGTAATAAACAGAATCATGTTTCACACCTGGTGACAAAGTTGTGCATTTTCTGTGTGAGCCAGTTCCTTTACTAAAGCGTTTAAAATTCACCTCATTTAATTGACAACAAATAATAATAATAATTAAAAACAATAATAATAATAATAATAATAGTAATAATAATAATAGTAATAATAATAATAAGAAGAAGAAGAAGAAGAAGAAGAAGAAGAGGAGATAAGTGAAAGAAGAAATAAGTTTAAGTAATAGACTAATGATTTGTGTGGTAATGGGGTGAGAAAATAATAAGCTTGGCTTCATCCCACTCCATTTTTGACTATGTTGAAATGTATTATTATTATTATTATTTTTTTGCATGATATTTCTGTTCGAAATAAATTAAATCAAATAAAAATAATAACACTACGGGTCAAAAGTTTGGCGTCTGTAAGATTTAAAATGTTTTAAAATAAGCTTATTCTGCTCACCAAGGCTGCATTTATTTAATCAAAAATACAGTAGAAATTGTAAAAATCAATTTTTTTCAAAAGTAGTTTATAATTTAATTTAATAATTTATTCCAGCAATTTTAAAGATTAATTTTTAGCTTCATTAATCCAGTCTTCAGTCACATGATCCTTCAGTAATCACTCTAATATTTATAATAATAACACTAATATAACAATAATAATAAAAATAATAATTATTATTAATGCTAATAGTAATAAAAGCAATAATGACTAGAGTATTAATTTAATTTGAAACTACATACAGTAAGAAAGCAGTTATATATATATATTTTTTTACATTTAATAAATGCTGCCTTGATGAAAATAATTTTCTTAAGAAGCATGAAAAATAACTGAAAATAGTACATATAAAATGATTGTTCACAAGATCCTGAATTTGTATTTATTGTATTGATTTAAAAAATATCGCCCCCTAACTTGGTAAAGAAGAACATGAGCTGTTAAAAATTTCCCCAAACTAAAGCAACATTTTGTATTTTTACTGCCCTGCGTTTTACTTCATTTTTTCATCAATATATTTTTATTATTTTCACATCAATAACTTACAGAATCTTTTCAGTATACATGTAAACATTCTTTTTTAACCTCCCTCCACTCTTTTCCCACCCTTACATGACAGAACACTTAAATGGACATTATTGTGAGACACCGAGCTGATGTGTAAAATAAGAGGAAATAAACAAGTAAACAAACAATGATGACAAATAAAAGATTAAATCAATGTAGAGTCATAATTTTCCATCAGCATTTTCAGTCAATGTAACATCCAAGTTAGTCATGTATTCAAAAAACTTTTACCTCAAGTCTTTTCAAACATTGATGAGGTTTTTTTTTTTAATTAAACTTTTTTTTTTCAACAGGAACAGGACAAAAGTTCTCTAAGCCATACAATATGACTTGGTGGTTCTACTAATTTCCATTGTATTGCAATGCATTTCACAGCCATTTTAATTAAATGTACATTTTTCCTTTGATCGAGTCCCCCGGTAACACAAAGCTTGGCTCAGGTGAAAGGTTAACATTAGCAATTTTGCTAATAATTTGTGCTATATTTCTCCAATAGGTTATACATTTAGAACATGTCCAAAACATATGAAATAACGTACCAACCTCGATTTACTAATCAATAATTATATTATATATATTATATGTTACTTATTTATCTATACTATAAACATTACCCCCTGATTATTGTGCAGATTATATAAAAAACTAGTAATAAAAATACAGAATATCAAAAGTAATTGTTTTGAATACACATTGTAAAATATAGATGAACATGGGCATTTATCTTAATGTTATTTATTTATTTTTATATTTCATTCTCTCCTTTTGGTCTCTGGTGGATTTATCACTATTATGTCAAAGAAAACTAGTCCTTAATAAAGAGCGGTTTTCCATCAAAGTATTCTATCAATTAGGTGGTTTTAAAGATAACTAGCTAATATATTGTATCGTTTATTTATTTTTGCTATTAAATTAGTCTACAATTAACAATAACAATAAAAATAGTAGCTCAAACAAAAACATGTATTTAAATCCATAAAATAAAATGTATTGTTTTAATGCAAAAATTGGATAACGGCTATATGAGAATACTATAATATAATAATAAAAAATAAATAAATAAATAAATAATAATAATAATAATAATAATAATAATAATTGGGTCAGTTGGCATTTTTGTGTGGAGTTTGCATGTTCCCCGTGTCCATGTGGGTTTCCTCCAGATGCTCCAGTTTCCTCCATAGTCCAAAGACTATAGGTATAGATATATTCACGCTATAGATGAATTGAATAAGCTAAATTGTCCATAGTGTATGTGTGTAAAACAGTGTGTGTGGGTGTTTCCCAATGTTGGGTTGCGGCTGAAAGGGCATCCGCTGTGTAAAACAAATGCTGGGTAAGTTTGCAGTTCATTCCGCTGTGGCGACGCCTGATGAATAAAGGGACTAAGCCAAAAATAAAAAGTAAAATAATGAATAAATAATATTAATACTGTAGTAACTTCATAATATATGCATGAGTCCTGCTGGTTTGTTGAAGATACATTAGCCACCATGTGATAGACATTTATAATCATGCACATTACAAGACATGAATATTAATTAATAACAGAAATAATACCGAGCACAGCAATCCAGGAGTCATTTTGGTTGAACAAGTGCAAGGCACTTTAAAAATTCCACTCCTCGCACACGCCTCCTCTCATCATCCAATAAGAGGTGACGGTTTCCGTAAACGCCTTCGAGGTTTCACAAGGTTACAGACGTAAAGTTCAGCCATTTTGAATGTGACATAATCAAACGAAATTGTTAAAAATATTTATTTAAAGTGACAGCTATTGCTATTTTCAGTTTTCAGGTCATTGTGTTTGAGTGTATCAATCATATGTGTGATTGTGTAGAAAAAACATTTAAGTTTTATGAAAAAATAAAAACAATCTTGCATGTACTGCAGGGCAAGATCCGAGTCATAGGCGTTTATGAAAAAACGCCACACAAAAGATGGACGACTCTTTCTTCCAATTTGCGACACGTTCACGCAGCTCAGCTCTGAACATAAATAGTATTACAGTAGCAAGAGAAATCATCTGAGCGAACTAGGCCGGTGAAGGTAATACTTTCTCATTATTATATCCCTGTTAGACTGCAAAAAAATAACATAAATGTTAGCTATAATACATGTTTTCAGATATACACGTAACGTTAGATAGACTTTTAAATACATAATCTCTAATGAGTATATTACGTTGTGTAATTGTAATTGTGTAACCCTGCGTGGACAATTATGAAATATATTGGGAGGAAATAATAACAAGGAAATAATAATGATACTATAAATAACACCACACGAGTTTGTCTGAAATTACGGCAGAAGTGTTATTTGTTAAGAATGCTTTATAATGTTCAATAATAATAATAACAACAATCTAGTACCATTGTAATAAAGTTGTCACTTGTTTATGTAACTTACAACACGCCAGTAATCTAAAGGTAAGAGCACAGGAAGTATTCCAAAGTAAAGTGGTTGTGAATTAAACTTTTAACACCCGTTTTTAATGTTGCTATGATTGTGTTGATTATTGTTACACCTTTTCAGATTTGAACATCACCAACCATGGCATTAAAAACAGCTTTGTCTCGTCTGCTGGTGAACTCACAGAGATGTCCTCTGATGTGTGTGTCGAGGGCCCAGGGCACTTTAGCACCTGCTGCATATGGTAAGAGCACTGCTTCAGCATAATTCAACTCAACTCAATTCAATTCAATTTAAGCTTATTTGTAAAGTGCTCTTCACAATAATAAATATTTCAGTTTTCAAAATAATATGTAAATGCATTAATTGTTTGGTAATTAAATTAAAAAAATCTCTGTAAACTTAATTTATGCTTCTAATTTATTTGATTAAATCAAATGGAGAATTTTATGTTTTCACGTTAATCAAATTATTTACTCAAAAATATTAATTTGGTGAAAGGTTTTCTTCAGTAGATCACTGAAATAGCATTACACTCTCAGAAAAAAATGGTACAATGTTGTACCAAAGAAGGTACAAACCCTTAATATTAAAATACCTATAATATTAAAATACCTATAGTTTTGTTTTACCAGTTGTTTTGTTTTATAGAACTTAAAAATTAATGTGTATGAGTTTCTTTAAACATGCTTTTAAATGATGATCCATGTTTTAATGTGGAAATTATTCGTAAATCACTTTGTCTTTCCAGTAATGTTTAATTTCACAGATATTGTAATAAAGGAGTTGTCCAACACTTATGCACCTTTTATGAGAGCAATTCTGTACCTTCATTTCAATTGTACCATAAAAGTTACCGAACAATATCATAAGAGGTCTTTTCTGTACTATATAAGGTACAACTTTTACAAAGGTACATAACTGTACACTAAGGAACATTATTTGTACCACTGTGTACCTTTTTTCGGAGAGTGACAAAAGCATTTACATTACAAAACATTCTGAAAGCATTGAATGAGTTTTTGATAAGTATAAAAGTAATTTTAACTAAAATGATTGTTGCACGTATTACGATATGTTGTAATAAAGTTAAATAGGCTTTGTTTTGCTTATTATTTATTTACCACAGACACAGATGAAGTCAGAATTATTAGCCCCCCTTTAAATTGTTTTCCTTTTTTAAATATACAGAGCAAGGACATTTTTACAGTATGTCTGATAATATTTTTTCTTCTGAAGAAAGTCTTATTTTCTTTATTTTGGCTAGAATAAAAGCAGTTCCTAATTTTTTAAACATCATTTTAAGCACAATATTATTAGCCCCTTTAAGCAATTTTTTTTTATTTGAATAAACCATCATTATTCAATAACTTGCCTAATTACCCTAACCTGCCTAGTTAAGCCTTTAAATGTCACTTTAAGCTGTATAGAAGTGTCTTGAAAAATATCAAGTCTAATATTATTTACTGCCATCATGGCAAAGATAAAATAAACCAGATATTAGAAATGAGTTATTAAAACTATTATATTTAGAAATGTGTTGAAAAAAATCTTCTGTCCGTTAAACAGAAATTGGGGAAAAATGAATAGGGGGTCTAATAATTCAGACTTCAACTGTATGTAGACATTACATGAAACATTAGGTCACGAAAATTTACTTGAAAGTCTTGGAAAAGTCATGGAATTAGAATAGGTATGAACCCTGTAAATGTAAAAATGCCTATGAATTGTCCCTTTAAAGGGGTAGTTCACCAAAAACTGAACTTACTATGAGTTTATTTCTTCTGTTAAACACAAAGGAAGATATTTTGAAGAAAGCTAATTCCTACTATAGATGTAAATGACTGCTTTTTTCCCACATTCTTGAGAAAATCTTGTTTTGTGTTCAATAGAAGAAAGAAATTCATAAAAGCATAGATCAACTTGAGGAATTTTTCATATTTGGGTGAAGTATCTCTTTTATTGATTGTGCTAATAACCATATCCTAATGTTTTTTTATTTTCAGACAAAGAGGAGCGAATCAAAAAAACATCAAAACAACGTAAATATTCATTATTTAATAGTACTGTTATTCTTGAGTTTGACTTCATATAGTGTATTTAAGCTGAAAATAAAATTGTCATTTCTAGCTAAGGTAACCTTTGACTGGCGTGACGCGTTGGATCTGGAAGGGCAGCTCACAGAGGAGGAGATCATGATCAGAGACAGTTTCCGCACATACTGTGAGGACAAGCTCATGCCACGCATCATCATGGCCAACAGGAATGAACGTAAGTAAAAGAGCTGCTCGCAATCTGAGGTAGCGCTGCACAATATATCCTTTCAGCGTCGATATCAGAATGTGCGTAAAATGCTGAGACTGGATTATGGTGTTCTCACACTAGGCTACCTGAACTGTGCCCATGCATGTTTAACCCACATTTCCCGATTTGTTTGACAAGTGTGAGTGCTCTGAATTGGGTCCAGGCACAGTTCAGTGGGCGGGCCCTGGCCCGTTACGAAGAGGTGTGCCAGAGGGCTTTGACGCGGTGCGCTTATAGCGTGAGTGCAAATTGCGCCTGAGCGTGAAACTGAAGACCCAACGTCACTTTTAAGGGACTGTTTTATATGGATTTATTAATCATTCTTACTTTTTAATGAACGCAAACTGTCATTAAAGTTTATTAAAGATTCAAACCCCTTGCTTCACGTCAGCTGCAACCTTCAGCAAACCTGCATTTGCTGTGCAGCACGACATGACTTATGAACATACTGTAGTACATTTTGATTTATCAACAGGACCATGAGATCTTAAACCCTGATATTGAAATCTGTGGCTCTAAATTTTCAGATTTCCATCGGGAGATTTTAAATGAGATGGGAGAGCTTGGTGTCCTTGGGCCTACAATTCAAGGTAAAACCACATTAAAATATCAGTGAGTTGAAACTCTACAAGGCTCTTCAAAGTGTCAGATTTACAGTCTTGAAAGTGTAAACTCAAAGCACTGTTTCTCTAATGCACATGGTTTCATGTTTTTTGTGTTGAAGGATATGGCTGTGCAGGCACTAGTTATGTGGCGTACGGTCTGATCGCTAGGGAGGTGGAGAGGGTCGACAGCGGATACAGATCGGTTATGAGTGTCCAGTCCTCACTGGTCATGCACCCCATCAATGCCTATGGCACAGAAGAGCAGAAGCAGAAATATCTGCCTAAACTGGGTTAGTCAAGTACCGGAACTACTGTGTGAAACATACTTTAAAGTTCCAAGGGTCCCGAAAAAAACATGTTATGTTAGCAATTAAAAAATTATTTGAATCTCAGTTCAACCGGGATATTTGCTGAATTTTATTATTTAATTACAAAGATCTCAATTTTAATCGTCTGTACATTGATTGCCCTATTTTAATGTATATATATATATATATATATATATATATATATATATATATATATATATATATATATATATATATATATAAATCTATTTATATAGTTCACACAAAAATTAAATTTACACCATAATTTACTCACCCTCTTTGGTTTACATTAGGGTTGTCAAAAGTATTGAATTCGGTACTTGAAGGTCATGAAGTTCATCCGTTCACTATTCTTTACTGATGATCACCAAGTGCACACTTAGATACAGGGACTCTGGAGCATTTCAAAGTCATGTCAATCAGCTGGGCTGTCTATGAGCTGACATGAGCGATTCGCTGATGGATCGTCTGATCTACGGAGCTTTGAAATGCTCCAGTATCCCTGTATCTTTGATTGAACTTGGAGAACAGCAGTCAAGAGTGGTGAACTGATGACCTTCGCAGCCAATCACGGTCATTTCTGTTGAGCAGGTGAACACAATGGCCAATCAGCTAAAAATATTCAGCGCCCAACATATTAGCAGGAAATGGACGTTTTTTTTTCATTTCGAATGGTACAAAACTCAATTTTTTTTGACAACCTTAGTTTATATGACTTTCTTCTTTCAGATGAACACAGTCTGACTAGTTTTACATTTCATCCTGGCTCCTCCATGCTGTATAATGGTGTTGGGTTGTGACCCTTTTTTTAAGTTTCCAAAAGGTGCATGAAGTTGTTGTTAAACAAAAAACATATGCTGCAAGTGGGTTAGCTTATGCCTTATGAAATGCATTTATGTGTTTTTGTAGCAGAAATATTTAACATTTTTAATTGATAAATGGCAGCTGAATGGCCATTCTCAACAACGTTTTGACTGACCTCTGACACGGCGTAAGATGGCATTGTAACGCTAAGCCAACTAGTTTTCTTGTTCACCATTGTCTTCTGTGGTAAAACAAACTGTGATTAGCAGGGGAATATTATTCTTTCTTTTTTTTTAGTTTTCTTGTTTTTAATTGTGTGCTTGTTATTTTTTTCCAGCTCGTGGAGAGATTCTGGGCTGTTTTGGTCTAACAGAACCAAACCACGGAAGTGACCCCGCTGGAATGGAGACTAAAGCCAAATACAACCCCTCCAGCAGAACTTACAGCATCAGTGGGACAAAAACATGGTAACCATGATGGTAACATGGTGTTCAGTTTGCATTGTCTGGCTTGGAGAGGCCTTGGATTTTGTCATTAGTTTATATAATGTCTTTACTTTAAATTATATTATAATTATATATTTTAATTATATGTAAATATTTTATATGTGGTATAAGTATTATTTTAATATTTATTTTTTACCTTTATAGGTTTTAATTATATATATTTATTTATCTATATATATATATTTTTCATATTCTTTTTTGTAGTTTTGTGCATATATTAAAATAATTTTTAAAACACGTTCGTGTATATATCATATTTTAAAAAGAATTATTAAAAAAAGAATGTTATTTATTAATTATTTATTAATAATAATAATTATTAATAATAATAATAAGAAGTATTGATAGGCAATACAATAAATGTGATAGTTAGGGTATAATGACACACTCTTTAAGTGCATCATTGATTTTGTAACTGAGATTAGTGAAGTTGCACAACATGTCATGAAGGTCAGTTCAGACAGTGTCTGATGATGTAAGAGAAATCATCTGAGAGCCCTGCACCAGATTTAGATTTGGTAACTTCACCCTCTACAGGGTGTTTGTCCCTTGCTGGTTTAGGAGGACGCTAAAATCTGCTGACCATCTGTTTGCTTGAATGTATACAGTACAATTCTGGCTTAAAGTTAGAGATGATTCTGTCTGGTGAGATTTTACATTTACATTTAGCAGAAGCATTTATCTAAAAGAGGTTTTAATTGTCAGTTTCAATAATAAACCAGAGCTTTGAATTGCAGTCTAGTCTGATGTGCATTTGAATGTGTTGTTATGAATAATTTCAACTATAACAAATATGTCATGTTTCTTCTGGGAAAAATATTTCTAAAGGAGCTGTTGACATGAAATTGAACCAGATTTTGGTAAAGATCCCAAAACAATCTGAAAAATGAGTTCTGTGTAATTATAATGGAATGACACAAGGAGAAAGTGCTAAACTACTGAAACGTATTAAATACCATAAATAAAAGGCTCTTTTGGTGACAGAGTGCAAAAATCTTGATGGTTCTGCTGGTCTTGTCTATTAAATCTGATCTTTATTTTGTATTTTATATTGGATTTAAGTCAGGTGATTGGCAGGGCCATTCTACAGCTTAATTTTCCTTCTCTCAAAGCATTTGAGAGTTTCCTTGGCTGTGTTTTGGATCATTGTCTTGCTGAAATGTCCACCCTGGTTTCATCTTCATTCTCCTGATAATGTAGATGCTTTGACTGAAGCAGCTAATATTCATTTACACTGATGAAGGGCAGAGGGTTGCTGAAGAACTACGTAGAGATTTCAGCTGCTGCTGTCTGGGCTTTCACTGCCTTTCTACACCTCCCTTTGTTCATGTGTTCAATACTTTTCCCAGTGTCATTTCATTTCTTACATATAACTTCATTTGTGAACTAATTCATGTTGTTTTCTTCGCATATATGTATTTCTTTAGTTGTTACAAATATCTGATGACAATTTCAAGTCAACAGCACCTTTAAAAAATATGTTTTCTGAGAAAAATGGTGATTTGTTGAATACTTATTTCCCTAACTTATATAAAATTGATAACATAATTCACATAAAAATGTAAAAAATGTATGCTTAAAGTAAACTTTGAACAACTATCTAATTATTTTAAGAGTGTGGTTTTATGTTGGTCTAATTGAAAATATTTTCCGGAGTGCACAAATTGTTTAAATATTATGTCTAGAAGAACCTAAAAAATATACAGATTTATTATTGTCTTTTAAATTAATAAGCTGAATGCCTTTTGTGTATGGGAAAATAAACATTTTCAATTAATATCCAATACAAACTAAAGGATTAACACACAAACAGGTTGTTCTATAAATAAAATCGCTTGTAAAAAGGGTTTAAACAGTTGTTTGGCAACAGTCTGTGAATATAATCAGCTTCTAATAGTTAAAAATGTATTAATTGTATTTTTTTTATAATCACTCTTTATGAAAACAGCCTACAGAAACACTTTGATTGACATTCCCCCCTTTTTACATGTCATCAGAGGGGAAAAGCCCCGCCAACTAGTAATGATCTCTCTAATATTAATTCTAGAAGAACCTAAAAAAAAATACAGATTCATTATTGACTTTTTAATAAATAAACTGAATGTCTTTTGTGTATGGGAAAATAAACATTTAGATTAATATCAAATCCAAATTGAAGGTTTAACTTAACAGGTTGTTCTATAAATAGCTTTCTATGGTAAAAACAAACAAACTACACACTCAGTTTTAGAGTTATAATAATAAATAAATAAAAATAATAAATAAAAACATAATAACGTAATTAAAATGAGATTTGTTTTTCTCATACCAACCCTCTTTTGTTTGAACAGGATCACCAACTCTCCGTATGCTGATATCTGTGTGGTGTGGGCAAAATGTGAGGATGGCAAAGTGAGAGGGTTTGTCCTGGAGAGAGGGATGAAGGGGTTGAGCACCCCGAAAATAGAGGGCAAATTCTCCCTCAGAGCTTCAGCCACCGGGATGATTGTGATGGATGAGGTGGAGGTGCCAGAGGAAAACCTGCTGCCCCACGTGTCTGGCCTAGCTGTGAGTGTGTTTGTACTGTTATTAAAGGTTCAGGACACCCTGGAGAACTTTTTTTTTTATATTAACAGATTTGTGTGTGTTGAGCATCAGTTAAAACGATGTTGGCACCTGTCAGCTTTAATTGTAGGGAAAACTGGATAATTTTGAGCTTTTGTCAGCTAATTTCAGCTTCCGGGTTTAAAATGATTTTTGGGGCGGGATCAAAATCGGCGACGAATCGCAGTACTGCAAGTGCAATGATGACGCGTCGGTTTCTCATTATTATTCATAGCGGAGTTTTCTTATCCTATGAGAAGAGCCGGCTGCTTAATTATTCATGAGACCTGCCAGACCTACCAGAGTCAAGCCCGAGCTGTGAGACACGTCACGGACTCACGGCACGGGCACACAGTATTTAGCCGTTCATGAAGGCTCATATGCGTTTGTTTCCATGATCCACGCGGTTTGTTGCATGTTTTCCCCCGCGATCTTGTCAGGGCCGATCATACAGCAAAGATGTGTGTGTGCTGCTATCATTTTTGTCGGGAGAGCAGCACGAGAATTAGAGAATGGCGGACGCTGTTTTTTTATCAGGAGTTCATTTACATTCAGACACATCACTGTGCTGCTGTGTTTGCCTAAATCCTCCAGATTACCAGCAGGGCTAACGGTTAAAATAGACAGGTCAGGAGACCTGCTGCACTGAGTCTGCTGGATACGGGGATTGAGGGAGAAGTCCTCATAGGGTTTACATGAACACACTTATCTTTATAATTATATAAATTGTGGTTATGTGTATATGAAATTACGAATAACAAATGTAGCAATGCATTAAATCACTGTTCATTTCTTTGCATTTTAACTTTGTAAACTATAAACTCATGCGTCTCCTCACGGTTTGTCTCATTTTGTGAGCTAGCTTCGTTCGCTCACGTTCTCCCCGGCTGGCCACGCCCACTCCTGCCCGATGCTCACGGAGCTCCACGCCCATTAATCATGCATCTTTTGAAAAAATTCTAAAGTAGACTTTAACCGAAAGTGGGGGGTGTCATGGCCCTTTAATGACTAAAGACCTGTTCAAGGATGATTTGTAGTTTCGCTTATTGAGGGCATTGCTCAAACAAACCCTTTTATTGCTGTCTGCCACTTTGTCTGTGATTAAATCTATTGATTTCTGTAGGGGCCCTTTGGCTGCCTGAATAATGCCCGCTTTGGCATTGCGTGGGGCGCTCTGGGTGCTGCTGAATTTTGTTTCCATGCTGCTCGTCAGTACACCATGGACAGGTGAGCAGCATCATCTTATCAGTGTAATATTAATAGTCATTACATCAGAAGTAATTAAAGTATATTCGTAAATGGTATAATTGTATTTCCATATTCATGATTTGTCAAATTATGAGCACAATCAAAACGACTTGTTATTCATCAAGTAACATTTTGTATTATTATGTAATGCTGCAAACAGTTGTGCTGCTTAATTTCATTAGGATTATTTGATAGGCTTTTTTTGAACAGGATTTATTTTGAAATAGAACTGCTGTATAACATTTCCCCCTTTTTTTATTTGTGGATGGTTTTATTATATAGAATCCAGTTTGGCGTCCCTCTCGCCAGAAACCAACTCATCCAGAAGAAGATGGCAGACATGCTGACAGAAATTACAATCGGCCTGCAGTCCTGTTTACAACTGGGCAGACTCATTGACCAAAAAAAGTGAGTCCTCCATCTTACCTACTGTTGAAGTCAGAGTTATAAGCCCTCCTGAATTATAATCCCCCCGTTATATTTTCCCCCAATTTCTGTTTAGCAGAAATCAACACATTTCTAAACATAATAGATTTAATAACTAATTTCTAATAACTGATTTTGTTTCTCTTTGCCATGATGACAGTCCGTAATATTTCACTAGATACAATTTAAATGCAATTTTTAAGGCTTAACTAGGTTAATTAGGCAAGTTAAGGTAATTACGCAGGTCATTGTATAACCTCATTAGACAATTGTCATTACACAATCAAAAAAAAATAATCGGATAATAATATTGACCTTAAAATATAAAAAGTAAAAATAAAAACTAGCAATTCAAGCCGAAATAAAACAAACAAGATTTTCTCCAGAAGAAAACGTATAGGAAATACTGTGAACATTTCCTTGCTCTGTTAAACATTCATTCATTAATTTTCTTTTCGGCTTAGTCCCTTTATTAATCAGGCGTCGCCACAGCAGATTGAACCGCCAACTTATCCAGCATATGTTTTATGCAGCGGATGCCCTTCCAGCTGCAACTCATCACTGGAACATCTATACACTCTCATTCACACTCATACACTATGGACAATTTAGCCTACCCAATTCACCTGTACCACTTTTTGACTTGTGGGGGAAACCGGAGCACCCGGAGGAAACCCAAGCAAACACAGCGAGAACATGCAAACTCCACACAGAAACGCCAACTGACCCAGCAGAGTTTTGAACCAGCAACCTTCTTGCTGTGAGGCGAAAGTGCTACCCACTGCGCCACCGTGCAGCCCCTCTGTTAAACATAATTTAGGAAATGTTTGAAAAAGAAAAAAATCACAGTAGGGCTAATCAATCTGACATGGCATGTATATTGACTGGTTTAATGTATAATAGCTCATGTACAAAAGACTTAAGAGCTCACAGAATTCACAGGTCCAGTGCCCTAAAGCTGAATCTTGTCAGAAATACAGCTGTTCTGTTTCTTATAGCTCACTGATGTTTCTGACGTATTTCTCCCTCAGACACACACCAGAGATGATCTCCCTGCTGAAGCGAAACTCATGTGGTAAAGCCCTGGACATCGCCAGACAGGCCAGAGACATGCTGGGAGGAAACGGCATAGCAGACGAATACCACATCATACGGCACGTCATGAACCTAGAGGCCGTCAACACATACGAAGGTACTAGAAAAAGATTCCATTTTAAAGTGCTCCTATTATGATTTTTTATATAATAGCAATAGTTTGTAAATGTACAAGGTCTGCAAAATCGTAAGTGTTAGCTAGGCAAACCGGTCTTGGTTTGAAACACATTAAAGGTACAGTAGGTGATTGTCTTCAGAAACATTTTTTGTTATGCTGGTTGAAAGTCTCTACACATTGCAAAAGTACAATAGTCTTGGGTAAAAAATATTCCTTACAAACATAATTCTGTCGCGTGCACTGTAGTCAACACGCGAGTCCAGCTGCGCTCTCATAGCAGGGAAATAAAAACAAAACCTTCGTTGCAGCACATTTATAAACACAACACTGACGACCCGTGTCTCCAAACAATTCTTGTTCTTCCACTTGTTTTAACAACACAATGTGGCGTCTCTCTGCCGTCTGAAGACTGTAACAGGTAAAAACAGTCTTCGAAGCTATCGTGCATATTAATGAAGTTGCACCTCATACACAATAAAGTGCGCTAATTGGTTCTCAAAATGGTATTTTGTTTTCAAATGACACACACAAGCCATTACATGAATAGCTAATTTAAGTCTTTCTCATGCATTAATGCTGCACACTCAGAGACGTCACAATGTACTTGGCGGTACAGACATCCACTCTTCACACTGGAATACACGCAAGGATATAATCGCCGTGACGCAGCTTCAAAATATTGTTTCAAACTGGAGTAACGAATTAGCTCGAAATAAATCAATTTTCACTTTTTTGTGACATATATGTGTCCTAATGGTGTTTTTAGCAGCGTGGGACATGTATATGACTGTCAACATCTCAAGACTTGTGTTTTGTGACCCTTTAAATGACAGCTTTTACATCTGGCCAATCAGAGCAGAGGAGGCTCTAAAAGGTGTTTAGCGAGTCCAGATACTGGATCCAGACACTGTAATTTACTAATACTTATAAAACGACCTGGATAGATGTAAACTAGTTGAATGAAACTTTTAAAACAAACTTGCTTTCACACCTGCCTTACTTCGGTTGAATCGCACTTGAGATTGTTTTCCCACTTGGTGCGGTTCGTTTGGGCAAGTGTGAATGTAGCAATCGCACTCAATTGCGCACCAAAAGCTGATCAAAAATGCGTACGCTTTCAAATGAACCCTGGAGCGGTTCGTTTGTGGTGAGAATTGATCCGAACTGAAACAGACCCAGTACTATACCTTTTTGGATTAAGGGAAAAACATTACCTGATGGATCCTTGTTAATGTTTGCGGAAGATGACCATGTCACAGCATAGCTAAATTAATTCACACCTCCTCCTGAAGTGACGTGCAATGTGCCTTCGCCGTTTGCAATGCATTATTTCCCAGCCGTAGCCGCACTTCATTCTCGAAATGTATAGTTTGTCTAAAGTGATCTACACAAACTATATAGTATACTATGAGCAGGGATACAATCAGCCAGCGCAGGAGTAGCTCCAGGGCCGGAGTGGGACTCCTTTTCAGCCCTGGAGTTTCAAGCCTTAGACCGGCCCACCTCAGTTCACGACTGACTATATTAAAATAAAGTAATTTCCAATTCAGTTTCTAATGACACTCTTACGTCTTTTTCAAGGACACAGCTGCTTTAAAACTTCAAATGTTTTTCATAAATATGAGAACATTAAAGGGTAGCTAAATCTCCAACACTATTCTTTAAATCATCACAATGTCCTTTCCTGCAATATCTGAATATTTATTCTGTGCAAAATTCTTTTTAGATATCCATTCCTTTGTAATGGTGGTCACACAAAAAATAAAAATAAAATATGTACACCTACATAAGTAACCCAAACAGTATTATATGTCTTAACACTAAAAATGAAAAAAAAAAAATTTACTCTGGTGAGGTTCAAACTCGGGTTGGCGGCATCGTAACGCAACGTGCTGACCATTGGACCATAATGGTGCTGTTATTCTGACGTGTTTGGGAAAAAAAGTATTGCAGTGTGATCTGCAAGACTATTTTATCATCAATACTTTTTATTGATGGCTTAATCTTTTTCTTCCCGTTTTAGATTTTTGATCAAGTTATGTCAGATTTATTATTGTAGTAAATCATCTGATTTTCATTGAGCAGGTGTATTATTCATTAATATTAATTATTCAAATTTTTATATTCACTAAGATGCCCCTGTTTGGGGTCAAATCATCATTAACCTGCAGGCTGCATTTTGCTCACGGGGCTGTGAGAAAATAAATAAAAAGAGCAGAGCTGCGGCAAAATAATGAATAAAAAGAGTGAGGCTATTGTCAAAAATATAAGTAAATGAAAAAAGTGCGAATGCTGAGAGTGCAAAGCAGCTAGGGACATCGTCCCTTGCGGCCAAAAAACGGACCGGCCCACCGGGAATTCTCCCAGAACTCCCGATTAGCCAATCCGGGCCTGCATAGCTATATAGTCAAAAGCAGAGCATTTTGTGTCTGCCGGTTTGTTTACTTGCGGAAGTTCCATTGGCATTTTCCCACATGTTAATTCTGACCAATCGAAAAGCAGTTTAAGAAATACGCTCAACAACATCTGGCCAATGAGTGATGTGGATTTTGTCAGATGACTGCATTTTGGTTCTTTTCAACTGGTTCAGACCAAAGCAAACAGTGTGGTGTGAAAACGACCTAAAGATGGCAGAAAATGCTCCAATGTATCATTTGTTTCCCTTAGTCTGGACCAAATGAACCTAACCAAAGATGTGAAAGCACCCTTAGCAACCTTTAAAAAATATATATATGTTAGGAGCACTTTAAATGACAGCTATACATCTGGCCAGCAGAGGGCAGTGTAGGCTTCAAGTAGGTTAAAATGGAGTTTATGTTTTAATGTAGTGATAATTACTCAACATTCTTGCATTAGTTTGTTTAATATGAAAGGGCTGTAAGAGGGTAAATCAATAAACCACAATTTTCTTCTTTCCCACAGGCACTCATGACATTCATGCGTTGATTTTGGGCAGAGCCATCACTGGACTCCAGTCTTTTACTGTTGGAAAATAAACCCATAGTTCTTTCTGAACGTAATCATAAAGCACTTTTGCGTCTGTCTCTGAAACGAGGGAAACTTTATCAACACCATTCTTCCATCTCTGTATAACCTCAAATGATTTGATTCGAGTGTGGGTCCAAACTGAAATCTGCTTCTTCTGTGTCTGCTATCTGAGGGTACTGATCTGACATCTATTAATATGTCATGTTACAAAGACGCTTGCATTAAGAAGGGGTTCATGATCTTGATGTGTATTAATTTTTGAAAGCATTCATCCATGGGATTTATGGATAACAATGTCATGAGAATGATGAAAGATAATCTATATCAGTTTTAAAGCTCCGCTTTTCTTGATGTCAGACATCCTGCTTGCACTTTAGAGATAACTCTGACCCACTGATCACTGTCAATACAAGTATTAAAAATGATGAATTTGATAAAATAATTCAACATTGTTATATTTATTGAGTGCTGGAAGCCACAGTGACTATTCTTTCATTGTCAATAAAGTCCAATTTGTTTTATGAGTGTTTAAATATGCGATTGTGGGTATGTATACGTTACTTAACATTAATGATGTCCATAACAGTATTTAATAACTATAATAACTCTAAGAGATATATCATTTTTAATAGTTGGGGAATTCATTCATTCATTTTCCTTTGGCTTAGTTACTTATTTATCAGGGCTTGCGACAGCAGAATGAACCACCAATTATTCTGGCATATTTTACTCAGCTGATGCCCTTCCAGCCGCAACCCATTACTGTGAAACACCCAGACACTCTCATTCACACAAACTCATACACTACGGCCAATTGAATCAGTTCATTCATTTTGTTTTGGCTCATTCGCTTTATTTATCAGGGATTGCCACAAAGAAATGAACCGCCAACTTTTCCAGCACATGTTTTATATAATGGATGCCCTTTCCAGCTGCAACCCAGTACTGGGAAACATTTATACACACTCATTCACTAAGGCAAATTTTAGTTTATTCAATTCACCTATAGCCTATTTCTTTGGACTTGAGGGGGAAACCTTAGGACACCCACGCCAACATGGTGAGAACATGCAAACTCCATACAGAAAGGGCAACTGACTCAGCTGGGACTCGAACCAGCGACCTTGTTGCTGTGAGGCGAAAGTGCTATTCACTAAACCACCGTGCCACCTAATTGGAAAAAATGAAAGTATTTTTTACTACCAGTCTGTCAATTAAGTTAGACTTTCTCATTAATACTTTTTAATAATAATTCTGCATTAACCCTTATTACCAGATAATTATAATAGAATGTACTGCCCAGACTTTAGACTTTAAACTATATATATATATATATATATATATATATATATATATATATATATATATATATATATATATATATATATATATATATATATACATATACATACAGTTGAATTATTATCCCCCTAAATTATTAGACTGCTTGCTTATTTTTTCCCCAAATTCTGTTTAACGGAGAGAAAAAATTTCAACACATTTCTAATCATAATAGTTTAAATATCTCATCTGTAATAACTGATTTATTTTATGTTTGCCATGATGACAGTAAATAATATTGGACTTGATATTTTTCAAGACACTTCTATACAGCTTAAAGTGACTTTTAAAGGCTTAACTAGGTTAATTAGGTTAACTAGGCAGGTTAGGGTAATTAGGCAAGTTATTGTAAAACAGTGGTTTGTTTTGTAGACTATCGAGAAAAAAATATAGCTTAAAGGGGCTAATGATTTTGTCCCTAAAATGGTGTTTAAAAAAAATTTTAACTGCTTTTATTCTAGCCAAAATAAAACAAATAAGACTTTCTCCAGAAGAAAAAATAATATCAGACTTACTGTGAAACTTTTCTTGCTCTGTTAAACATTATTTGGGAAATATTTAAAAAATTAAATTAAATTCAAAGACTTCAACGGTATATAACTATACATTTGTCAATGAAATAAATTAGTTGAATGCTGAATTGTACACCTGTCACACTTTAAAATGTAATATTAATTTGGATCTTATTAGAAAATAAATAAATTGAATTTGTGTAAGTGTGTAATAAGAACTTTTGAAATATATATTTTTTTTAAATGTGTGCGGTTAAATACTCAAAAATGTATCTGTCAAGGTTTTTTCAAAAATTATATTTGTTTTACAAAAGTCACACAAATGGAAATTTCACATCTGTCACATCCACAACAGAGCGTTTTCCTCATAAATGCAAAAAATGTTAAAAAAAATATATTAAAATCAATCATTTTAGTTCTATAGTGAATCTGGTAATTCACAGAATTTCTAGAAGCTATGTTGAATACTGTAAACTTGCAAACCTTTTTGGGTTTTGATTTGAAATATGAAAAATTGTGATTGATTTTTTGAATTGTAATTGTGATTAATTGATTGTTTTTTTCTGATCTCATAACTCTGTGGTTAGTAATTTAATAAAAATAAAAAAGATGTTTCAATATAATGTTAACATATACTTTCTCTGTGAATTTATGTTTTGAGATTTTACTGCAAATGTCACATCCATTATGCTGGAATTGCTCATATTTCTGTGCAAAGCAGATTTCGCCGTCTATTTCGTGACTTCAGGTCAAATGCTCTGTTTTAGTTCACTCCACATCATTTCATTAAGGTTAAAGTTAGATTAAGATTTGTAAACAGAGTTACAAGTTATTTATTTATTTATTTATTTATTTATTTTGCTCTGGTGTGTTAGATTTCCAATCATAAATTCTTATGATTTTACTTTACATAATGTTCAATTGTTGAAACATTACTCACAGAATAATTCTGAGTGTCTGGAATTTTAAAGCCATTGTTTTTTAATATGCTACCTAACTACCTACCTACCAACCTATATAACTATCTATAGTTATCTTCTTATTAGCTTCCCTGTTATTTTTCCCCAATTTCTATTTAACAGAGAGATTTTTTAAACACATTTCTAAACATAATAGCTTTAATAACTCATTTCTAATAACTGATTTATTTTATCTTTGCCATGATGACAGTAAATAATATTTGACTAGACATATTTCAATATACTTCTCTACAGCTTAAAGTGACATTTAAAGACTTAACTAGGCTTATTAAGTTAACTAGGCATGTTAGGGTAATAAGACAAGTGATTGTATATTAATGGTTTGTTCTGTCGACTATCGAAAAAATATAGCTTAAAGGGGCTAATAAATTTGTCCTTAAAATGTTTTTTGTTTTTTATTAAAAACTGTTTTTATTCTAGTCGAAATAAAACAAATAAGACTTTCTCCAGAAGAAAAAATATATATAATATCAGACTTATTGTGAAAAAATTACTTGCTCTGTTTAACATAATTTGGGAAATATTTTTTAAAATAAATTCTACTTTTTGCTCAAAGAAAAACAAAAACATGCAGAAGAAAGCTGGCAGCCAAATCTGCAAGGTCTGTAAAACTGAATTATGAATTTTAATTTTAGTGAACTAAATGAACATTTATAATCAACTGACAACCCTAAATAATATAATATAATATAATATAATATAATATAATATAATTTAATATAATATAATAAATATAATATAATATAATATAATATAATACAATATAATATAAAATAATATAATATAATATAATATAATATAATCCAATACAATATAAAATAATATAATATAATATAATATAATATAATATAATATAATATAATATAATATACTAAAACCCTCGACTTTCATTGTGAAAATGTATAGAAGAGTGCTGAAAAAAAATACAACACTGTTGTTCACCTTAACTTTTTTATTTATTAAATTTATTTCTACCCATTTATTTTATTTAGTCTTGTACAGTCGATTGTTCCACTTCCACCTGTGTCTTCTTAATTCTGATGTTGTTGGCATTGTCTTCAGTGTATGATCTTCTGCGGTCCAGAATCTGCCGGTTTGTCTTAGTCGGGCATCTCAGCTGAGACCTGTCCACTATGGGTGACCCTGCCGGTATCTGTGAAGTACCAGTGGTGAAGCTCTCAGCATCACTGATGCACACAAGCCCTCACAGCACGTCAAGCTGCAAACCGTGTGAGGGACCCTAACCTAACCTACCAGACACCGCGAATCACTAAACGCATCGAAACACCCAGAGGAGTCCATCGACCGACCAGCGACATGAGAACAACCGCTCAGAAAACCACCTGATGACCACACCGCAAAGTATTAAAAACCATGAGCAAACCAACTGACAATCACCAAACACATCCTATTGATGAAACAAGAGTGTGTGAAAAGGAAACTTACTTGTAAACTTGCTCTAGAACTATATACAGTATTTACAGTATATACAAATGCAGCAAGTGGTGTGATTCTGCATGTGAGGACTCAGTGTCTGGGCCTCTTTCTTCTGGGCTCCACAGGCAGCGGCTCTTCACTGATGTCTACCTGGATTCGAGGAGCGATGCTGGAACCAGACCTGCTCTCAGTGATGATTACTCGTCCATCGGCCTGCACTGTCTCCTCCACTACAGGACACCCGAGTGTTTCCCACAGCCGCTGCTTGATATCCAGGCCCAGCTGCAGGCTGTATGGACGGCGATGACCACAGCGGTTCTTGGTCATGGGCTCCACCACAGAGCGGTAGATGTCCTGATAGACTTCAACGCTGCAGCCATGGATGGAGAGAGGCTCTGCCTGCTGACCTACATCCACTGAAGACACTGTGACTGCTGGACGGAGGTCAGGAAGGACAGCCGTGTTCTTCAGGTGTCGCTCCTCCAAACCTGAAACAGAGACACAGCTGTAAGTGTGGTCTAACCTGACCACAGCTGCAGGATCCAGAACAGAAGAGACGCCCTCCACCCAGAAGTCTTTCAGGCGTGCAGGAAGAGCTCTGGTTCTTCTGAGGCGACGCTGCTCCATGATGATCAACTTAAATCAGGCAAACTGATGAAACTTGTCAACTTGGAGAGTTAAAAGAGCTTCAAGACTTTCAGAGAGTTGTGTGGATTTAAAGTGTAAACTCAGGTTGCCGTGGTGACAGAATATTGAACTGGTTTAAATGTAAACAGCTCTTGATCAGCAGTAAGTCAATCAGAGCAGGAGAAGAGTTCTTCTCCATTACTTCTCTAGTACCAGTGTTGTATTTTTTACAGCAAATATACATACATGTGGTGTAAACTCAACTAAATCAGTGATACAGAAACATAAAGAAACATTTTGATTTAAATATGACTCAAATTAATTAGGCTCAGTAGATATTTATTATGATTCATTATTTTAAATCCAATATCAACTAAAGATCTCTTGAAAAAGCTTTTTAAAAGGTCCACGTGCAATGAGATATATGCACACAAACTTTGAATTTCTCTTTCATTTAATTTTTTTAATTAATTTGAAAATAACCCATAGAGAAAGTCAGTAAGAGCAAGCGGAATCCTCTGTCGGCTGTGGCTTCAGTGTGACTTCAGCTAATCAGTTTTGGCCAGTGCAAACACGTTTTCATGAGTTTAACAACCAGCAAGAAAACACACAATCTGACGTAAG